TACGAAATTTGTAGTTCAGACATTACTCTTTCCAACAAAAAAAAAAACTTCCGTTGATTTTGAATTTAGCAATGCGGTCTAACACAGTTTGACATTTCCACAATTACTTGTGCATCGTAGGTTATTCTTGATCACACACAGATATGAGTCACTACCATGAAGCTTTTGTCATCTTCATTTCTAATAACAACTGAAGAAGGAACAATAAGCAATTCATCAACGAAAGATTAACAATATCAAGAACCAATGAATTTCCAAGTAAATAAACAATATTCTGCTAAGTTTTGTTCTTTATTTTTTCATATAAATATAAACCACAAGATTTGAATAATCATATTTTATTAAAAATTGTTCGTCTTTAACGACTCGAAAATCAAGAACAAATTAAATGAAATCATTAAATGTGTTCAAGATAAGCTTTTACCTTTATTGAATGAAGATCTTGTTTTAAAATGCTTTGATCAAAAAAATTCAATTTATTAAAAAGTATTTATCCAAGAAAAAGAAAATGTGAACGACGAATTAATAGGAATGTTTAACTATGATAAAAGATTTTGTGCCGCATGGACCATAAAAGACATCTTAGTAATGGTTCATTACTAATTGTGACAGGCATAACCTTGATAGTAAAATTTATGATATATTTTTACAAATGACTGAAAAAAGAAACACATAAGTTTATATATGAACTAAAAAGTTCTGGAATCATTTTAATTTATTTTCTCTGATAAATCAAATAAAGTATCGAATATATGCAATACTGACTGACAAGGTAACCTCCGTAGATATACCTTTCCTATCTCCATTTAAAGACCCCATATAGAGTAGTTTGTATGAAGAGTTTTAGAGTTTATAAACATTGTATTTTCAAATTCGAAGGTTTTCAAAAATACACGCTTTTCGAAGTGTAGTAAGTACTATAAAAATATTTTGAAAAGTTTATATCCCGAAGACTCTAAGTTTAGAAACCTGTAAACTTTTCATATAGATGAATATATATGGGATCTTCAATTTGAAATAGTTTCAAAACAAAAAAAAACGAATTTTCGAAAACCTCAGATCATGTACAGGGATTCACTGACAAAGAGACATATTCAATATTCGGTAGCTTGGTTACGTTTCAATGAAAACTCAAATACTTTTAGGACTTTCATTAGAATACCATTTAGTACGTGTAGGCAAGAAGCTGTTGACATATCAATGAGACATTTCAGTAGATCTCTTCGTTAAAACGATTTACTAAATACATTGCTCACTATAATGCGGTTTAAACCTGGGATAGATGAACTAAATTTTCTTAAATAGCTAAGTGATATGGTGAAAATGGTTCATAATGTAAATGTATTAGTTCCGGTAACTTTTCTTCATTAATATCACTTAATAAACGCTGATTAATCAATTATATTACATAACTTATTGCTATTCGCTCTAAAAGGCAACAATCTAATTCAATATTTGATGTTGTAATTTCGTTTTCAGCTTGAAGCGTTGAATAGTTTGAAAAATTTCATTAATTGCTTGTTCAACTGAGTGGAAAATATGTATGAGTGTTAAGATGTATGATGACGTCGACAAAGTGCTATATGTGAATTAATTTTACGCAGAGAACTTAATGATTGAAAAATAAATGGTTTAAAATTGAATAATTGAAATTATGGTTCAGAAATAGTTGTCACCGTAGATGATGATAGTTGAGTTAATGAAATAACAGGTGGTATAGATAAAATTTGAGAAGCAGGATTTGAGAATTCTTTTTCAATTTTATCAACATTATCTTTATTAATTAACATGTGATAAATTAGAAGTGCCTGAAAAAAAACAAAGTTTAGCAAAGTTTTCCTCTGATTGATCTTTCTTAGTAAAGTTTGGGTGTTCATTTTTGGATTCCGTTCTTCTTAATTTAACATTATTATTGTTCTAACCATTGATTTAACTGATAAACAATGTGTTGTAGATGACCATTATATCTACAACAGGTCTCAACACACTTATATATATTTATCAATAACATCAGAAACATATTAATATTAGTTATTGCTCAAAGTTATAACTCGATCATTTGGCGACTTTGGCAAAGCAATGCAAGACTATTCATCATCCTTGGTGCCTTAAATAAAAGCTTTATCTACCCAATACCGTTCAGTGCCTTTTTTCGTTGATAGAGAACTCTGTAAAAAAAGAATCTGGCGTCTGTTGCCCTTGATCGCTTTGATGGATGAGAGGAAGTCACAAAAATTTGACTTAAAACTTATATTCACTATATTTTTCTTCAAAAAAACTTAGTGTGCGTTTCACAAAAGTCTATTAAATTTATAGTAAGCTCTTATCTTTTACAAGTGTCAGTTAATGATTAAAAAATTAATTGTTGGTTCGAAAGTTATCAGAATGGTTGATTATATAAATACAAAATACATATATTACGTACATTTAATTGAATTTCTAATTGTTTATAAAAAAAGAAACTTCAATTTCAAATTTTACATTTGATTTTTTTATATAATATGAATCAATGAATAAAGATTTGATATTTGAAACCCTAAAAATAACATAATTGTATTTATATAGATTTTTCAAACACTTCATTGAATATTTTCTGATTTCCAATGCGTGTTTCAAAAAAGAAAGTCGGAATGACGACAACTTGAGTAATTTGTGAACAATAGGAAATATTGTAAGGATGTGGATGTGGGTCTTGAAGTGGTTGAACTGAACACCCACACCCGTACCAGTAGCCATACTCATCCCCACCCCCATTTCGATTCGATTCTCTTCTGTCAGTGATGATCAACAGTGGATGAATGTGTATAAGAATGATATGTATACATTTACATCTGTTAACGGTTCAAGATGAAATAAGTACATTTTAAAATCAGTTGTTTTTTTCGATTACTTTTTTACTTATATTAAGTAGATATTCTTGTAGTTGTTTACAACTAGATATTGGTTCGGAACAGAAAACAAAAAGTGTGTGATGTGTGTGGGTAGTTTTTTTTTCATGTCTTTCTCACACCGACACTCACATACATCTTGTGTGCTAATGGGCATCATTGGAAATGTTTCATTTCAAATTGTTCGCAAATACCTGAACTTAAGAGCAATTCTTGACGATGTTCTTCTGGAAAAAATCTCACACCTTGTTTTTTTTTATATCAAACAAAGCGAGGGAAAAGTTGAGATAAGGAATGATAAATGTACAATACGTTGTGAGTAGGAGTCAAAGTGTTTCCTATGAATATGGTAAAATTTAGAAATTTTCAAGCCTTTTTCATAGATGAAAACGATGCTGTTAAGACCTGACCTCTTCAGGTTAATCATACCATGCGTCTCCTTTCCCCTGTCGTTTTTCTTCTCCATTGGGTCGTGTTATTTGTTTCTTTCTATTATTTTTCTTTGCGTAGTTCGAATGCATGCGTAAGACATGTGAACAATTTGCTTTGCATCATGTTTTCAGGAAGCATACGTAAATAACATATGGAATAAACCATTCATGTCTCCTGTGTATCGAAAAGCCAAAGGGCTACAAATTAATTAAATATGTAAGTCAGAAATATATTTTACATTTGTCATATTTTTTTAGGTGTGTTTCGGAAGCATTTTATTTCGTGTATTCAAATCGGCAAACGACAAAGTACAATACTCGTAGTGAAAGGAACTTGGTATCTTAAGAAGTGAAGTATTCAGAAGATTTAACAAATTAGCACCTCGATTAGATAATTCATGTCGACGGTTTCTTAAACGGTTGCAAGGCTTAATAGTTTATTGATTAGCTGTTATTGTAGAATATTAATTGAAACGAACATTGTAATTTGCATGCAAAGCATATGTTGCGAAACGGCTTACGCTTCTCCTAGATTATTTGGCAAATTTATATTAATTTGGAGTTTTAGTCGAATTTCAAGCCGACAAACAAAATAAACGAGCAGAATAGGTTGATCGAGCGAACAAATTTAACGTCATTAGAGACAAATTATAAAACCAACTTGCTCAACTGCATCTGGATCATCTTTAAGAGGCAAAAGCATTGTAAAACTATTCCGATTAAACAAGTAGTGCAAACTTCTTCTCTATTGAGCACTAATTTTATAGCAGCCGATTTCATCAACCGTTCCAAAGCCGTTGATTCGGAAATGTATCAATTACGTCGACAAGATCAAAGTATTCTGACATCGAACTCATCAATTCTCAAAGAAGGTAATTTTGTAAAAGTACGCGAACTAGAACAGATATTGGTTAGTGGTTTAGCGAAATTGAACATCGAAGATGTAACCTTGTTACAAGAAAACATACGGCAAACAGAAGAACGAATCAATGAATATGAAAAAGAGGCTGAAAAAGAAATGGAGTATTTGAGAGAATGTAAAGATTTACAAGGACTTGTGGAGAACATATGCCATCTGAAACATGTCTCGTGCTTGTCTAAGAATGATAACGATTTGAATCAGAAGTGGACCGCCGAAAAATATTCAGGATATTGTGGTATAAAGACTCTTAATGAAGAGAAAAAACGAATGGATATTAAAAATTTCTATGGCGATTTGGCTATCATGCCGTCTTGTACTGAAAAAACTATTGTGGAACTTTTGGAGCATTTTGAACAAAGATTACTGGGAGACTTTATATCTTGCAAAGAAGAAAGTTTAGTAAGACGAAAGTTATTTGAGTTGCAGGATCAGATTAAAAGGCAAGAATTATTTTCGGAAGAAATTCAAGTCTATCTTCAGGATCTAAATAAAGCTGTTCATAGAAACGATTGTTTATCTATAGTGAACGTTCTCAATAAGCTGTTGAAGAGAATCAGACCTTTAAATGTACAGGAGATACAACGACTTATAGAAAAAACGAAAAAAGCAGCTGCATTAATCAGAGATAAAGAAATTATTTTGTTAGTAGGTGCTACTGAAGTTGGGAAAGCGAATACTATTCAATATCTTGCAGGTGAAAAGATGGAAGAAAGACGATTAAAATTTGACGATGGGCAGTGTTTAGAACTTTTAACAACCATGGAGTCAGTTAAGAATTCTGGATCGACTATCGTGACTAGTCATTCGTTGAGAAAGTACGAAACTCGACATATTGCACCGATCACAATACAATTAAAAGAAATTTTTGGTCATTATGAGACAGGAGAAATTATTTTATGCAATGCACCAGATTTTAGTAATTCAGAAATTCCCGAAGTAGATATTGTAAATGGTGTAGCAGTTATTGAAGCTCTCAAAGAATGCAGAAGTATCAAGATACTAGCTTTATCAAGCTGTGACAGCTTAGTTGATCGAGAACGTGGTATTCTTAAATTGATACGTACGTTAATCGATATGGTGGATGGAATAGAACATAGACTAGATAGTATTTGTTATGGATTTACAAAATGTCCTGTGATGGCAGATATTAATGCTTTGTTAGTAGATTTAAAAAGTTCAACAGTGGATGCTTTCTCAGAATCTGATAGTGTATTGATGACAGTACTATTGGACATGATTGAGAAAACTGTAAATGGTGCTGCTCTAAAAATAGATCCTATTGATGGTGATCCGAAAGAACTAATTAAAAAATTTAAGCATATTCATGGTATTGCGTATCCAGGAGAAGTTTTTCGATTTTCGATAAGTAAAGAAACAGAATTAACTATCACAAATCAGATAGAAAGAGATAAGTCGAATATTCGGTGTGCATTAAAACATAGAAATAATGATCTTTTAATGTATTATTTGAATAATTTAAAGATATTAAAAGATTTAATTAAACAAAGCTTCATTCAAGATGCTTATGAAGATTCTATAAGATTTGTAAGGACAAGCATTAATGAGTTTGGTACAGAAGTAATGAAAAATTTCAATGATGCTTTAGTCAGTAAAGATGGATTGAGAAAAGAAGACATTCGTGACTACAAAAATTCCTTTGAATATATTCAAAAGATTCAAATATTGAAAGATCATTTAGGATCGCATCTAATCTCACATGAAATATTCATTCAAAACATCGAGTTCGAACTAAAGAAAATAAGTCAAACTCTGTTACAAGAAGATTTGCATAGTCCCCTGGTTGGAATATATTTTGATAATCTTTATATGCTCAAAAATTCGTTTGAAGAATTTGAGTTACATTATAGTAAAAGTTGTGAGGATTTTGCAGAGCGTTTAAAAAAATTGACCCATGTTGCACGAGAATCCATTTTAGCTAATGAATTCAAATATATTGCTGAAATTCTTCACACCCTATTGCAATGTTCATTGGTTCTAAAAAAACATTTAGACGAACGAATTAAAGAAAACTATGACGATATCGTCAAATTACTCTTAAAGCATTTAAGTAGTTTTTCTGAAAAAGCAGAGTTTCTTTTAGCAAAGATTCGACTGAATGATAATGATGTAACAGTTCTTAAAAATTACATGGAAATATTGAGAGCAGCTAGAGAAAATGCTGCACTTCAAGAGCATATTTCTACATATGCAAAAATGCAGAAAAAGAAACTTGATGTTTCATCACAACAAACTACAAGCTATGTTTACGAAGAAAATTGCACATATTTCAATGAAATTTATAATCAATTCATTTCGAAATTTGTTAAGTATTTTGATGAGATTAACGAACGAATTAGAGAGATTTTTGAAAGAAATGGAAGTCATTCTCTAGAATATATAGAAAAATTCATTCTTGATATGGAAGCTATTCGTACGATACCAGAATTTCAATTCAAGACTGCTCAAAGCTATTATCGTATTGTTGAAAATATAAGTGGATATATAAAAAGATTACAGAGAGAGACAGAGGAATTGCTTTTTGCTATCGATCATCATTCAAGAGTCCCTAATTATAGAAATCTCGCTCGATCATTGACTCGTTTAAAAAAAGCGGAATGGATCAACCGTGTTAGTCCAAGTGTTTCTGATAATTTAATGAATGACATAACGGACGAGTTGGTGCATCGTGCCCGTCAGTTAGAAGTTCGTTTGATGAACTTGAATCTTAGTTTTAACTATCCTGATCATATTTGTGTAGCACAAGAAATTCTTGAAAAAATTCAATCTATGAGTATTTTGGAACGTAGTGTTCCAGAACTCGAAAGATACAGAGTTAATATATTCCAACGTTTTCTTCAATCTACACAGACAGTTTTTGATCATATCAAAAAGACTTTCAATTTGCAAAATAGGACTGTATCTCATATTAAAGAGGAGTTGAACGAACTTGAAGAAATAAAAAGGGAGTACGAGAATTTGCATCCGGCCCACATGTATTTACGAAAACAAGGATACTTAAATATAGATGTATTGAATCGCGAAATTGAAGATCTCAAATCTCAGAAAAATGTAGAAATTATGGCCGTAGAAGCTGAAACATGCGAGGAAAAAATTCGACAAAGTAAATTGAATTTAGTTCTTCAAAAATATGCAGATTTAATTTCTTTCAAGGCAGATCAAAGTAGCATGATTGAAAAAGTAGTGCACCGAACAAGAGCAACATTGCAGAATAATACACAGGCAAATGATTATTTGAGAAAAGAAGGATATTCAACCATTAATGCCGTATACAACGCTAGAGAAGAGTTCGAAAAAGCTCATATCGCAAGAGTGCAGCTGATTGGTGCTAAGTTCGCAGAACTGAGCAGTTTTCTAATTCACCTCGAATCAATACGAGGTGAATATAACTCATTATTAGCTTCGCATGATTCTGTTTCTTCTACAGAAGTGAATTTTCTAAGAGAAAAAGGGCAAGAGAGTTCTATAGAACTTGATAAAACCATTCAAGAGAAAAAGAAAATTTTCGATGAATGCTTGAAAAATAAACAAACATATTATTTTGACGATAGGCTAGATGCATCAGCAGCGAATAATGCATTAGTTTACATAGAGCAATGCGAAAAAGTAGATCACGTTCGTGTGAAAGAAAATGCAGTTGATGCTCATGAAATCTTAAAAAACTATATAAGTGAATATGGTAATTTTCTTCATCAGAAAATACGTTGCAAGTTCAATCATACGATTACTTGTATTGATGTTCAAGAAGATCTTTTTCAGTATACTCATGATTTAAAAATGTACTTACAAGAATTATCTTCTCTTAGCAAATTTACATATGTTTTTAAATGTATAAATGGAGTTGAGAAAGTAGAATATTGGCATCAAGAATTTCTTGATTATTATCATAATTTAAGTTATAAATTAGAAGAATATAAAATTTTTGACCAAAACAAAGACTTAAAAAATCAATTAATTATTGCACAAGTATTGAGCTGTTTAGATCGTTTCTGTGAAATTATATTTTCAGATCATGGATTTAGAGCTCTCTACGGAAAATATCGAGTGGAGATAACCAAGGAATGCAGAGCAGTTTATGAGCTTGTGTTAAGCTACATATCTAAAGGAGACTATGGAAATGCAGACATATTGCTACACGATATGGATGAAAATCATTTCACTTCCAGAGATTTAGCTCAGATTAAGTACAACTTAGAAAGTTCTTTACAAAGGTTGATGAAAGAAACTAAAAGCATTGCAATTTGGCTAGATAGAACAATCGAAAGCGAACAAAGTAGTAGGACTCAAATAAGAGAACTTAAGGAAAATGTCGAAAAAGTTCGAACTGCTTTCAATAAACACAATATAATGGTGTTACTTGACAATGAAACTCGAACGACCCTTTCCAGCTTTGATAATGACATGAATGAAATTTTGTCTGAAATTATTTTAAGAGGACTTCGTTCTATTGAAGTTTGTATAGATGCTGATAGTTTTTGTCAAGCTGAGAAAATCATGGACAATCTTAGTTGTGCACAACGAGAATTAGCCGATATTTGCACATCGGATTCGGTTTCTAAGAAAAGTGAAGAACTAAGAAAAAAGTTCGATAATATAGTTAGTACTATATCAAATCGTTATGACTCTTTAGATGTCGAAGATTATTCGTTTCATTCACCTAAAGATCTTTTAAAGAAATTAGAGTTGGTTGAATCACGTGGTGGGACAAGATATCATCAAATTCGTATGACTGTATTGCGAAAAATTCGGCAAAATTTTAGTCTGGCTATAGAAAAACTCCTTGATACGCCTTTGGATGAACGTCCTGCAAAAATGCGTTCTTTAAATTGTGCATTATGTTTTTTACCAGAAGAATTACAAACATCATTCAAATTGCAACTTGATGAATTCAGTCAATTATTTACTGATGAAGAGAAAATGCGAAGAGTTAATCTAAAAACTTATTCAAAAACTGGCACTACAACATATCCCTCATCGTAAATATCAATACACGTGTTTAGTAGTGAATACTTTTTTTTTCAGATTATTAATATGATGCAAAACATAGTATTTATTGAGTTCTTCGCGAAGTTTTGTTTTTCTTTCTCACTATCCAGGCGTATACATCAAAAGGTGTGAGTATAGTTAAATAAATAGAACAAATCAACAATGAATATAAAATTCATGAGAATTATAAAACAAAAAAATAATGAATAATAAACAAATGTGTTTTATAAATTTTTATGTAATTTTAATTCTTTAATGTTTTTTTGTTTATTATAGTTTTAATGTAAAATTTGAATGAATAAGTAATCGAATAAATCAATAACAACAATGAATGAATAAATTATGAAAAAAAAAAATAAGAGAAGATGATTTAATAACGGAGATATGAATGAATGAATTTACTTAATAAATGAAAGAACTGCAAACAGAGCTGATTTAGTATGGAAAATCGAAGATTTACCTACGAAATTAAAGAGAAAATTTAAAAAGTAAAAGATATTAAGATATTTTTATAGAATATTTTAAAATTTCATTTCTTTTTATGGGCCTGTGTGAGTAGACTCATTATACGATTCCTTTCGTATCGTAAATTATATCGTACAAAATTGAGATTTGTCAATTGGGATCCAACTATCATTTTGCTAGTTACTTTTCCAGCACAAAGAGACAAAGCAGAGATAAGGAAAATATTCATTTATTGAGACGTTTCATCGTCGTTCGATCGATAGGAGATAGTGTCAACACCCTTCTTTGACATAGATCAAAAAGTGACTCAATAATCTCTGAGATAGCTCAAGAGGAGATGATCAACGGGATTTATCAGGTATGGGTGGAGTTAAGGAGAAAACGAACACCGAAACCGACATTCACACTCTTAAAAAGATTTTTTCATGTTCCCATGTAAAAATATATTCAAAATTTAACGATTTAACGAAATTTAATGTTACCTTTCTGTCCTTGAAAACGCGTTAAAATATGAATTTAACGAATTTTCACTCGTTTCTCTACGTTAATATTATTTTAACGCGTTTTCAAGGACAGAAAGGTAACATTAAATTTCGTTAAATCGTTAAATTTTGCATACATTTTTACATGGGTTGAGTTTAAAATAAATCCGACAGGGACCATTAGTGTATGTGTTTCAGCTCGGAATGTCATGAGTAAACGTACTTTGGTTGTTTTCAGGGTACGAACTGCATTGAAATAAGTTCTGTTTAAATGAATAATGAACACTAATCAAACGCAACATTTCATATCCAACTTGTAAATAAATCATTAAATCAGTGTCAAAGGTATTTGTAATTAAGAAATAGAAATTGACCACGTTCTGAGAAATGTTCAAAACTCATTTGTTTTGTCATGGAAACTTATTCAAAACAAAGAACAAGCATACTATCAATTTTTCGAGTCGAAAATCTTTGATCAATATTTATAAGATATTCTGCTTTTATTATTTCAACAATCAGATTCCATACATGTTTGTAGCTAAAACCCAATACAACTCGAATGATGACTCTTTCCTTAGCATACAAGGTTTATTAAAGGTACAAACACGTGGGTGGAAACCTATGAGGATTTTATCGAAAATCAACGATGGCAATTCCTACCGCTGTTGATAGTTGAATACTAATGGAATTCGATTGGCCGATTCGTTCTTGGTTTTATAACCTGAGATACTATAGGCTTTAGTATCTGGTTCATCCATGTTGAAAGTTATCTTTGCATCAAATTTACTGAATTGATCAGTAGTGAGATAGACTTGAGTTTTCTCTGTTCATTATTAAATATAATGATTTATTGGTTATGATAAATTTTCATTTTTTCTTGTTTAACAATTTTTAAACGGTAATGTTACAAGAGAAAATTTATCGTCTGATCCAGACATAGATGCGAACCAAAATTATACTGATATTGTTCAGAACTTTTTTCTCAGTTAGTTAGACTCGTATATAGATGAATTTTATGTAAAATTTCATTATTAAATTACTGGAAATTACTACGATAAATATTTAACTATTGATTGGTGTTCGGTATGAAAGCCATCGCTTTCTTAATAAGAGATCAACTTCAGACGCCTTCTGTAGTTTGATGTGATATGTCACGACAACCACAATGACATGAGCTAAAAAATGAGGAATGCATTCAAATTTTTTCGATATTGCCTATTTCGATCTGATATCAACGAATATTCTCACATATCTTTGATAAGAATCTTCAGATGGATATTTTCTTTCAAAAATATAGATTCTTCAAACAAGGACACAAAAAATATCCTTATGATTGTTTTCTACGGTTGAGGCTTAAAACATTCGTTCTCTTTTTTTCGAATCAAATTACCATTAAGAAATCTCGAAAAGTAATCAAGAACAGGCAAAAAAAGCATTGGAGAAGCCTTCATGAATAGCTCATGAAATTTCAAATGCATGACTAAATTCTCCTATCTGATATGACGAATTGTCACTCTTCACTGTTACAGATATTGTCATATTTTATTAACAGTAAAGAATGCATACATGAAAAACAAACATGTTGATGGCAAGAGAAAGAAAACGGCATATGAACTTGTTGAATATTTTTCTTCATTCAAGAGTCTGAAGAGTTTAAGAAACATACATTCATATTTTACAGAAAACCATTATATTTAGAAATATGCCTAGCCAACTACTTTTTATTATCGTTTTTACATTATTATTGCTGCACATCGACCATGCCGCACAGTTACAAATCTACTGACATGTAATACAAGTGTAATGATTGCTAACTTTCCACTGAACAATCTACTTGGAGTGTTGTACGATTTTGTGCAGATTGAGCAGAAAATCAGCCGCACAGCTTCTTAAGAGCTGTTAGGGGTACTATGTCATCTGTTGGCATTTGCTATTCCTATGTTTTACAAGCTGTGAGTCGTGTCTTTTTTATTGTGCTGCACAAATACAAATTTCTTCTCATATTTCGTATACATTGGTGTACGATTGCTCTAAATTGGATTATTATTATACTAGCAATTAAACCTTCCTTCATTAATAGTGGCTTGGAATTCGAAGAGAAATCGCGTATTTGTGTAGCCAAAAGTAGAGTTTTTGCTTCATATATGTATATCACAGTAGTTGTAATTTTCATGCCACTTAACATTGCTATCTTTGTTTATGGTAAAAAATTTTATCGTGGACATAAATCAACTCAAAAAGTGTTGAGTATGGCATTCGACACGACGGTTTCTTATATACCAAACGCAAAACGTGAAATGAAACTGGCACGAAATATGGTATGATTAGTTAGGAATTTTGCCTTTGGTGGAGTAATATATGTGATGTTTGTTTTTTTGGCATATCATTGCAACAAATATTTCACTATTGGAAGAATTGTATTTGATGAGTATGGATACAATAGTGTTTTCAACACTCTTAAGATGGTGTTTTTCTTTGCAATGAACAAACAAGTGAAGCGGGTTATTGTTCTTAGCCGTCTTCGCCTTAGACGTCAACGTATTCATCCTACATCCACTGATCTACAGCTGGCACCAAACCTTATCAGACGCTGACAGTATTCCAACTATAAACTGAAGTATATCGTCAATTTAATAATAAATAGTGCAGACTAAAATAAAAGATGTCGCATTTATGTGTCACCAGTTATATTGTTGCAGACTATCACGAAAATTAGCCGTCTTATAAGAACATGCCGGTCTCGAACAATGATTGAGAAAGGACTACTTTGAAATGATCTTATCGATATTGGACTACTCGAGACGAAACGAAAACTGTCTACTTTCAACAATATAGAATTTTGCATCGATTCATCAATGTTTTTCAAAATATCGGAGATCACCATCAAGACAAGTGTTTTTCGATTTGTAAACATTAGTTCAACTACGCCCTGCGTATAAATATTTGAACCGTTCGCAATAATGTGTCTTGTACTACTGATTTGTGTGAAATATTAAACAATAGACCGTATCCAAATTAGCCTGACGGAATATAATTTCCATGTCATTAATACACGACGATTGAGGATTATAAAAAAATCTTCAAAGCATATCGTTCGAAATAATTACGATTCAAAACTTCAAGTATTCTCGATATAACTATTTTTTTTTTGTACAAGGATATTTATATAATGATGACACATTTGACAAGAAAGCTAAAGTAATACTCAGAAAAGGACAAGTTTTAGAAAGCTGACATTAGGATGTATGTGTGTTTAGAAATGATTCGCCCACTTGTAGCTTCCGTCGCAGCTGTACCTATTCATATCCGTACCATCAAAATCGCGAATGTCAGTAATTAGTTATCGAAATATTGATTTCAAAAAATATCCACAATTTGTTCACAACGTTTTTTGAAATAATGATACATCCCTCATCAAGAGCTAATAACAGGTCTTCTCTTCGAACAAAGCCATGAGTTTACGGAAAACATTAATATTTTCTCTCATATATACAGTGTAGCATCTTACAAACCATTGATAGAGTTCTCAATATTGAAAAATTTTTGCAGTCTCCAGAGTATTACACGATAAAATAATCACGGTATTGCGCATTCGCTCAAAGCATGGATATAATGATAAAATCTTTTTTAAGTCTTAGAGTAAAACATAATTAACGCTTGAAGTCGTTTCGAATATTCATTCTAAAAATGTTATCCCTGACTGCAATGATGATAATCAATCGATACATTAAGTTGATCTTAAATTGGATGATGCAAATACACATTGATCGAGCATGTTATTTACTTTAGTTTCCAGTTCTTCAAATAACAGAAGTGCATATAGAGTAGTTTACACAATCTCAATGATACCTAAATATACAAACTTACTGGTACCTTGTTATCACTCAAATATCACTTTTAGTAAGGGAGAGTGTGGGTGAGTGATGAAGAGTCCGAGCCCAAATCACGTCCTCACCATCTGCTTATTGAATTACTGTTTTTTTTTTCGCTATAGTCACTTTTGTCATAAAAGTATAAGTGATAACGAATATTTGCATAATGATCGAT